AGGTTTTCAAGGCCTCAGAAGCACCGAGTGAATGAGAAAACAGGTGATGACCCTTTGGGTCGTCACATTCTCCACCTCTAAAACAACCGTTCGTCCTCGAACGGACAAAAGAAAGAAGTACCTGAGTCGGGGAATAGATGGGGATAACGGCTCCGCATATCAGGCTCGGACTCCCAGGTCGATGCCTCAGGAGGCTGACCTCTCCACTGAACACGCACTGAAGGAAAACTCTTCGACCTCAACTGTCGAACCTGCCGATCTAGAATAGCCACCGGCCCATCCTCATAAGACAGATCCTTGTCCAACTAGACAGTGCTGAAATCTAACACGTGGGCTGGATCGCCGTGATACCTCCGAAGCATGGACACATGAAAAACTGATGCACGGCTGACAAGCTAGGCGGCAAGGCAAGCCTATAAGCCACCTCTCCCACACGGTCGAGAATCTCAAATGGGCCAATGAACCTAGGGCTAAGCTTGCCCTTCTTCCCAAATCTCATCACGCCCTTCATAGGCGATACTCGGAGCAATACTCGCTCACCAACCATGAAAGCTACATCTCGAACCTTACGATCTGCATAGCTCTTCTGCCTGGACTGAGCCGAACGAAGCCTATCCTGAATGATCTTGACCTTGTCCAAGGCCTCCTGAACCAAATCCGTACCTATCAACCGAGCCTCTCCCGGCTCAAACCATCCAATCGGAGACCGACACCGCCTACCATACAACGCCTCATAAGGAGCCATCTGAATGCTGGACTGGTAGCTGTTGTCGTAGGCAAACTCCGCTAAAGGCAAGAACTGATCCCACGAACCTCCAAAGTCAACAACACAAGCTCGGAGCATAATAGTCCGCTCGGACTGTCCGTCCGTCTGAGGATGGAAAGCTATGCTCAAATCAACCTGGGTGCCCAACTCTCGCTGAACTGCTCTCCAAAAGCGCGAGGTAAATTGCGTACCCTGGTCCGAAATGATAGATACCGGCACCCCATGAAGGCGAACAATCTCTCTGATGTAGATCTCAGCTAACCTCTCGGATGAATAAGTGGCTGCAACAGGAACAAAATGCGCTGACTTGATCAGCCTATCAACAATGACCCAAATCGCATCAAACTTCTTCCGGGTCAACGGGAGTCCAGTAACAAAATCCATCGTAATCCTCTCCCACTTCCACTCGGGAAGCTCAATCCTCTGAAACAGTCCACCAGGCCTCTGATGCTCGTACTTAACCTGCTGACAGTTTAAACAACGAGCCACATATGCAACAATGTCCTTCTTCATCCTACGCCACCAATAATGTTGCCGCAAGTCCTGATACATCTTCGTGGCGCCCGGGTGAATAGAATACCGGGAACTATGGGCCTCCGCCAAGATCAACTCTCGAATCCCATCAACATTGGGCACACAAACTCGCCCCTGCAGTCTCAAGACACCATCATCATCTAACGCCACCTTCTTGGCACCTCCACGCTGCACCGTGTCTCTCGGGACACACAAATGGGGATCATCAAACTGTCGATCACGGATACGCTCCAATAATGAAGAACGAGCAACCGTGCAAGCTGACACTCGGCTAGGCTCAAAGATATCCAACCTCACAAATCGATTGGCCAAAGCCTGAACATCCAAAGCAAGCGGCCTCTGGCTGGCCGGAATATAAGCAAGACTACCCATGCTGACGGACTTCCTACTCAATGCATCGGCCACCACATTGGCCTTCCCCGGGTGGTACAAGATAGTAACATCATAATCTTTCAGCAACTCCAACCACCTCCTCTGCCTCAAATTCAACTCCTTTTGCTTGAACAAGTACTGAAGACTCTTGTGATCAGTGTACACCTCACACGTCACACCATATAGATAATGTCTCCAAATCTTCAAAGCATGAACAATGGCTGCCAACTCTAGATCATGAACCGGATAATTCTTCTCGTGGATCTTCAACTGCCTCGAAGCATAGGCTATGACTCTGCCATCCTGCATCAATACTGCACCAAGCCCCATACGGGAAGCATCACAATAGACTGTATAAGGCCTTGAACCTGTGGGCAAAACCAATACCGGTGCCGTAGTCAGAGCTGTCTTGAGCTTCTGAAAGCTCGCCTCACACTCATCCGACCATCTGAACTGGGCACCCTTCTGGGTCAACCTGGTCATCGGTGCTGCGATAGATGAAAACCCCTCCACGAATCGACGATAATAGCCTGCTAACCCCAAGAAACTCCGAATCTCTGTAGCTGATGCTGGTCGAGGCCAGTTCTTGACTGCCTCAATCTTCTTCGGGTCCACCTGAATACCCTCTGCTGATACGACGTGACCTAGGAATGCAACCGAACTCAACCAGAACTCACACTTCGAGAACTTAGCATATAACTGGCTATCCTTCAGAGTCTGAAGAACCACTCTGAGGTGCTGCTCGTGCTCCTCCTGGCTGCGGGAGTACACCAAAATATCATCAATAAAGACTATCACGAACAAGTCCAAATAAGGCCTGAACACTCGGTTCATCAACTCCATAAATGCTGCTGGGGCATTGGTCAACCCAAATGACATGACCAGGAACTCATAGTGCCCGTACCGAGTGCGGAATGCTGTCTTAGGGACATCGGATGCCCTAATCCTCAACTGATGGTAGCCAGATCTCAAGTCTATCTTTGAAAACACCTTTGCACCCTGAAGCTGGTCGAACAAATTGTCAATCCTCGGCAGTGGATACTTGTTCTTTATCGTCACTTTGTTCAACTGCCGGTAATCAATGCACATCCTCATCGAACCGTCCTTTTTCTTCACAAATAACACCGGCGCACCCCAAGGCGAGAGACACTGGGTCTAATGAAACCCTTCTGAAGCAAATCCTGCAACTGACCCTTTAACTCTTTCAACTCCGGTGGGGCCATGCGATACGGCGGGATAGAAATGGGCTGGGTGCCCGGAGCCAAATCAATACAAAAATCGATATCCCTGTCGGGCGGCATACCCGGCAGGTCTGAAGTGAAAACCTCGGGGAACTTCCGAACAATAGGTACAGAATCAATAGAAGGGACCTCTGCGCTGGAGTCGCGAACATACGCCAGATAAGCTAAACACCCCTTCTCGACCATGCATCGAGCCTTCACATATGAGATAACACTGCGAGTGGCATGACCTGGGGTCCCTCTCCACTCCAAACGGGGAAAATCTGGTAAAGCCAAGGTCACGGTCTTGGCGTGGCAATCCAAGATGGCATGATAAGCGGACAACCAATCCATCCCTAATATGACGTCGAAATCCGCCATGTCTAAGAGCAATAAATCAACACGGGTCTCAAGACCCTCAAACACTACCACACAGGAACGATGAACTCGGTCGACCACTATAGAATCACCCACCGGTGTAGATACATATACAGGAACACCCAAGGCATCATTAGGCATAACCAAGTACAGTGCAAAATAGGATGACACATACGAATACATAGACCCAGGGTCGAATAGCACTGAAGCATCCCTATCACAGACCAGAATAGTACCTGTAATTACTACATCTAAAGACTCAGCCTCTGGCCTGGCTGGAAGAGCATAACACCGGGCTGGGCCCCACCTCCCTGAACCACATCTCTGGAACGGTCGGCTGCTGGCTGGCCTCTACCTCTGGCGGTCTGAGCTCCACCTCTATGATCTCTACCTCCACCTCTATGACCTCTACCCCCGCCTCTAGCTGGCTGGGCGGCCTGTGGAATCACCTGATGCCTGAATCATGGGGCGAGGACCCTGCTGCTGGGAACTACCCGAAGCTTGAGGGCAAAATCTGACAATGTGACTCGGGGTCACCACAACGCGTAACAAGCCCTCGGCTGACTGCGACTGCGACGAAGTCCTCCCGGAAACTCTGAAGTGGCGGTGCACTGATGGGAGCTGGTGGTGCACTGAAAGACTGCTGATCAGAATAATGCGGCTGAGAACCACTACCGCCTGAAGTACCATGAGAGACCTGGAGAGCTGACTGAAAGGGCCTCGGAGGATGGCCTCTACCATAAGAATCTCTACCTCCAGACGAGGTGCCACATAGTCTACTTGCATGACGGGGCCTCTTATCTGACCCATGACCACCTCCCCGTGCAAGAGCCATCTCAACTCTACGGGCTGCACAGGCCGCCTCCTGAAAAGAAATCTCACTCCCGGCTCCCATAGCCATCTGGAGAGAGATCGGCTGAATCAATCCCTCAATAAACCTCCGGACCCTCTCTCTCTCGGTGGGGAGTATAACAATAGCATGGCGAGCTAGATCAATGAACCGGGTCTCATACTGTGTGACTGTCATAGAGCCCTTCTGAAGGCGCTCAAACTGCCTGCGAAGAGCATCTTGCTGAGTAACAGGGAGAAACTTCTCCAAGAATAACTCTGCAAACTGGTCCCAAGTCAGAGATGGCGACCCTGCTGGTCTGGCTAAACAATAGTCCCTCCACCAAGTCTTGGCGGATCCAGATAGACGAAAGGTGGCGAAGTCGACCGCATTGGTCTCCACAATACCCATAGTCCGAAGAACCTTATAGAAGCTATATAAGAAATCCTGGGGGTCCTCTAAAGAAGCACCGCTGAATGTGGTGGTGAAGAGCTTGGTGAACCTATCCAGCCTCCACAAAGCATCTGCGGACATAGCCGCTCCATCGCAGGTCTGAGTCACAATACCCGGCTGGACTGCCACAGCTGGCTGAACCACTGGAACCTAAGCCTGGGGAGCTACCTGCTCCGGAGTACGTGTAGCAAGAGTCTGAACTCCTCCTCCAGCCTGGGAAGTGGCTGGTGCTACTGGAAGCAAACCCGCTCGAGTGACGCTCTCCATAAGGCCTACCAATCTGACCAAAGCGTACTGAAGAACTGGGTGGCTATAAACCCCTCTGGGACCTGAGCTGGGCCCACCGGAGCTGCTGGAGCTGGAACCTCCTCATCATAATCAGTCTGAGGCTCCACCTCTGGGGCTGCTGCTCGGGGCTAAGCTCTACCCTGCCTCGGCCTCTAGCACGGCCTCGGCCTCGCCCTCTGCCCCTCGTAGGAGCTGCTGCTGGGGGCTCGGGCTGCTGCGCGGTAGAAGAGGAAGCACGTGTTCTTGCCATCTGCGAAAGAATAGAGTAGAGAGACAATCAGTATTTGAGAAACCGAATCGCACGACAAGAAAGAACAAAAGTGAAATTTTTCCTAACTCTGTAGCCTCTGGGGGATAAATACAGACGTCTCCGTACCGATCCCTCAGACTCTACCGAGTTTGTCCATGAGTTGTGAGACCTATGTAACCTAGTGCTCTAATACCAACTTGTCACGACCCGTATTTCCCACTCTCGGGAGTCGTGATGGCGCCTACTATTAGGAGCTAGGCAAGCCAATTATTTATTATCTCTTTTAGCGAACCTCGACATTAATAAAAACAACGAAACATTTAATATAAAAGCGAAAGTCTTAAATATAAATAAACAGAAAACAATGCGGAAGTTCAATACAACTCTACCTAAGAACTGGAGTCACAAACTCACGAACGTCTAGAGAATGCCAAATACAATGTCTGAATAAAAACATAGTTTTGTTTGTTCCGGTACAAAGGATAACAAAATAAAGTAATGATAGAAGAAACTCTGGGCCTGCGGACGTCAGCAAGGCTACCTCGGTGTCTCTGGACTGAAGTCAGCTCCCAAATCTACTATTGCTGTCCAAAAGCTGCTCTGGCACCGTGATCTGTGCAAAAAGATGCACAAAGTGTAGCATCAGCACAACCGACCCCATGTGCTGGCAAGTGCCTGGCCTAACCCCGGCGAAGTAGTGACGAGGCTAGACCGGACTACCAAACAAACCTCTGCAGTTCAATATATATGTATGCAATATAAAGGTATACAGAAATTAACCAGTCAAGGGGGAGGGGGAGCATGCTCTAGGGACTGTAACAGTTCAGGTATAAAATCAATAATTAAGGAATGAAACAGTACAACTACAATAGCAACTAGAGTAGGAAATCAACAGTTGCAAGGCACCATCCTTTGTGCTTTTACTCTCATTCTCACCCAAACAATCATATAAAGTGCACGACATCACCCTTTGTGCTTTACCTCACAAAATGATGGCACGTAATGATCCTTCGTGCATAAACACTCACATCATGGCACGGAATGTTCCTTCGTGCATTAGTAATCATATCATGGCACGGAATGTTCCTTCGTCTCTTAATTAGAAAGCTAAGTTAGAAAAGTCAACCGGAAGTTGACTTATGAGTAAACGAATTCGGATTTGAATTTTTATGATTCGATTAGCTTCCTTGGGTGATTTTAATTAGGAGTATGTCCGGAATGTAATTTGGAGGTCCGTGGTAGAATTAGGCTTGAATTGGCAAAAGTTGAAAGTTTAAAAGTCTTAGGCTTGAATTCGAGGTTGATTTGGTGTTTTGGTGTTGTTTTGGGGTGTTCCGGAGGTTCGACTTAGTTCGGATAGTGATATGTGACTTGTTGGAATTATTGGTTGAGGTCCCGAGGGCCTCGGATGCGTTTTGAATAAGTTTGGGTTGTGTAGCGCTCGTTTTTCTTATGTTTCGACGCCGTTTCTTCAAGCATAAATGATATCATATTGAACAAATGAGCTCTGATTTCTTTTTTGATTAAAGCATTAGATCCGTATTGTAATTACGGACCTGTAGCAAAAAGAATCGTCGAATTTGGACATCGTATGAGGATTTTATGGTTAGTTTACTAAGAATTAGGTTGCAAGATTTTTCAGATTAATTACGAAATTGCCACTGACGGCGTATTTAAAAATCTGCACTATTTGCAAATATTAAAACCTACATACCTCCTTCGTTATAAGGTCAAATTGAGTGATTCAAAAGCCTAACTTGACTAGAATTTCACAAGGAATCCATTGGGCATAAAATACGAGTTTCGGGATCGTTTGGCTCGAGAAACGAGGTAGAATAGCTGGTAAAAAAATATACAAAAGTAGGGTTTTGTTCATTTGGTCATATTTTGAGTTGGGGAGCTCGGATTTGGGCGATTTTGGAGGCGATTTTCACCATATGGATTGGGGTAAGTGTTCTCTACTCGATTTTGATTATAATTTATGAATCCATCTTCGTTTTTGAGATTTGATTGATGATTTCAAAGTGAAATTGAGGGAGTTAGGGTTTGAGTTTTGGAGAGTTTTAAGTGAGGATTTGAGGGACCAAACGGAGTCAGATTTTGACAAATTTTATATGGTTAGACTCGGGAGAGGACGAGGATTATTACTGCCATTTTTGACCGATTTTGAGACGTGGGCCTGAGGGCCGAGTTTTGGCCGAGTTTCGATTTTTGGCATGTTTATGGTTTTTTTATTGTGTAATTCGATTCTTTAGACTATGTTGATAGTATTATTCTGATTATGGTTAGATTCGAAGATTTTGGAGACCAAGTCGAGGGACGAGGATATCCCGGAGTAGGATTTTACGCTGTTGAGGTAAGTAACAGTTTTAACTCTGGCTTTGAGGGTATAAACCCGGAGAGTTTGATATCATGTGATTGGTTGGTGGTGATACCAATGCTAGGTGACGGGCGTGTGGGTGTGCACCGCAAGGGATTGAGACTTGGTCCGTCCCGTGAGGCTGTGAGGCCTAATGACTATTATCTGTGGTTATATGTTTACTTGTTATTGAACTTGTTTGCCTTCATGTTAGAGATCATGTTAAGGCTTTATTCAGGCTCACATTAATTATACTCAGTCATAGAAATTATTGTACATGATTACCTACGTCTCTATTATTTGCTAATATGC